GATTCTGCTGTTAACTAATTTTTTTTTTGTTGAAATATGTTAAAATGATGCAATCTTGATATGTGGTGGTTGTAACACCTAATTTTCCATCCTACATAATATCATTATATGGTATCAAGATAGAATGCTGCGTTTTAGATTATTCTAATAAAAATTGCTTTAATAATCTTGCTCAAAGTGATTTGTGGCCTGGGTCACCCACTCTAGCTCTCTAATGAAACGGCACTTGGACAGATTGCCTTTACTTCTGTGGTATACCCATCCTTGCTCCTTGCTTATATGGGACAAGCTGCTTATCTCTCTCAGCATCACATCATCCAAACTGATTACCGAATTGGATTTTATGTATCTGTACCAGGTAGTTACCTTCTATGTTAGGTTGAAATTGCTTTCGGGATCAGTAATCATCGTAATGCTTGATTTTGCATGATTCACTTGTAATTTTCTTTGATAGAGAGGATAAGATGGCCAGTCATGGCAATTGCTATTCTTGCTGCTGTGGTGGGAAGCCAAGCAGTTATTACGGGTACTTTCTCAATCATTAAACAGTGCTCTGCCTTGGGATGCTTTCCTAGGGTGAAGATAGTGCATACATCATCCAAAATACATGGTCAGATATACATCCCAGAGATCAACTGGATTTTGATGACACTTTGCTTAGCTGTCACTGTTGGATTTAGAGACACAAAGCTCCTGGGCAACGCATCAGGTATTACATTCATATAAAGTATCAAACAACTATTACTTGCCATTCTCATGTTAGGTGTTCCAACCCTTTTGGTTTTATCTCTCTGAAATTTTTTTCTGTTCTCACAATGGTATATTCTTTATGTTTTCCTACTTATGCCATTTGGAGTTGTTCATATTCCACCCATCTTTTGATATAGATTTTGTACTTTCATCATGGGCAAGTGGTCTTATAATATTAAAATTAATGTGCCTGTTCATCTAGATCATGTAATTTTTGTATCCAAAATCTTCCACAACAAAATTTGGAAATCTATATATCGTCTTTTGGTAATGATTATTGCACATTCTTAAATTAAAATGAAGTTTGAAGATGTCTGTAGGGATCAACATATGTTTGTCCATTTGCTAGAAGCGACGGCTGGTCTCTTGTTTAATGAGTATTTTCTTTGTTGGAAAGTGTTTATCTTTATATTAAGTGTTTTTTTGACCACAGAAAAGCATACTTGGTGGCGTGTCTTCAGGTTTCGATAAGAATGATTAAAGTAAAATAATTTGATTTCAGGTTGGCCGGGATTAACAATCCTGGTTAATTGGTTATAATTGGTCGGACTCCAGAGATCCCTTGAGATCAACTCATGGTATTAGCCAAGATTAGTCTGGTATTATTCAGCATTGGCAGGGACCAATTAGGATAAAAAAGATCATATGAGCTTGAGAAATCGGGGTGTCTAGGATCAGCAAAGGTTGATTGGTGGCTCGGCTGATTTACTAGGCCATTTTAAGTTGAGCATCATGCTGCTGTTCTTGTTGTTTTTGTTTTTTGTTTGTTTTCTTATTGCATTTTAATCCTATATGGTGCTATAGAATCCATTTTATTGTGTGTCATTCTCTATCATTCCAATTTCCATGTTGTATAAATAATCAAATGTGGTTATCACGCTATTACATTCATAATTTCTAGATCCCTTGTGTCATTGCCACCTCTGGTCTTGTAGTGCTTGTTCGCTTCCTTTGTACTTTCCAAGAGTGCAGTATCTTGGTTTACAGCTTTTGCTGCCTTTCTGTCACTTCTGCTTGCTTTCAGCATGCAAAATAGGAATAGAAAGAAAAAGGATGTGTCATCAACTAACAGTGGTAACTAAATTACCTGACAATAGTGTAATGTAGCCGGATATTGATGTGGTAATGATAGTAGCCATCAGAAGCTTGTAGCATATGATTAATACTTTATTTTACTTTATGTACATGATGTCTATCGAGATGATTCATATGCAAAGCAACCTTTTCAATTTGCTAATTTTTTGATTTATCATCTTTTGCAACAGGGTTAGCAGTCATGTCTGTCATGCTGGTCACCACCTGCTTGATGTTCCTCGTAATTGTCCTCTGTTGGCATCAAAGCATCTTTCTGGCTGCATGCTTCATTCTTTTCTTTGGTTCAATTGAGGCGCTCTACTTCTCGGCATCTTTAATCAAGTTCCTTGAAGGAGCTTGGTTTCCTCTCGCACTGTGCATCGTTTTTATGATCATCATGTACATCTGGCATTATGGGACCATAAAGAAGTACGAGTTTGATGTTGAGAACAAGGTTTCCATCAATTGGCTTCTAAGCCTCGGCCCTACTCTAGGCTTTGTACGTGTGCGAGGCATTGGCCTCATACACACTGAGCTCGTATCAGGAATCCCAGCCATCTTCTCCCACTTCGTCACCAACTTGCCTGCATTTCACCAGGTATTACCGAGTAATCTTTTTTACATTTTACATATCAATTTTAGGTGGTCTAAATACTTGTGACTATGGTGGTAGTAGATCAAATATATGTCTGCATTTTCACTTTATCAATACATTTTGATATTACGTAATATATCAAGCCATTCTTAAATTTCTTCTGGCTCAGGTCGTTGTCTTCCTTTGCATTAAATCAGTGCCAATGCCGTACGTCGACCCCCAAGAACGATTCCTAGTCGGTCGGGTTGGCCCAAAGGAATACAGGCTTTACAGGGTCATCGTCCGATACGGGTACCAAGACATACAAAAAGATGACTTGGAGTTCGAGAGGGATCTTGTTTGCAGCATTGCTGAGTTCATCCGGTCCGAAGGATCAAAGCCCAGCGGTCTGGCTGAAGAAACCGATAAGGATGATGGGCAAATGACAGTCGTCGGGACAGGTTTGAGGATCCGCGAGGAGAAAGTTGAAGCTGAAGATGCGCCAGGCCCATCAGCCTCTAGGGAGATACTCTCGCCTGTGATAGTACCAAAGAAACAAGTGAGGTTTCTCTTGCCCAGGAGCCCGAAAATAAAGGAAGAGGCGAAGGAAGAGTTGCAAGAGCTGCTGGAAGCAAGGGAGGCAGGAATGGCCTTCATACTCGGGCACGAGTACATGAGAGCAAAGAGCGGGTCGAGCCTCATCAAGCGGCTGGCGATCGATCTTGGGTATGAGTTCTTGCGGAGAAACTGCAGGGGCCACATGTATGCTTTCAGCATCCCTCATGCTTCGACTTTGGAGGTCGCAATGGTCTACCATGTCTGAGCTTCCTCATGTGTTTCCAATTTTATTTTTTTTTTGTCATGTGAACTGTAGATGATCATGTTGCTTCTCATGGTATAGTGATGATAAATCAAGAAAGAGTAGTAGTTTTAGCAGGATGGTAGATTTTACAGATGAAGTTGTAGTTCCCCTGAAGTACCATTGTACAAATGAGGAGATATGTTTTGTTATGTACATATATGTATATATATACTCATCACAGCTCAAATGAGAAATCTTCTCTCTTGTTCAAGTCATTGTATGATATGATGGATGTTGTGATCATAATTCGAATGATCTTGAAAGAGTTCATTAGCTCAGTGATAATTTCAGATTTAGGAGTTAACAGTATTCACCTGCATCTCTCGATACTGATATGGATTCCACAGGTCGTGTTTTCCGTCGTGTGGTTTGCATGAAGGAAGCAGACTTGGAAAAGGATTCGTTCTCTTTAATTCGTCCAGAGACTTCGAGAAACGACGACCAATATGAGTGAAGCCCGCCGCTTCGGGTCACTGCTCGAGTTACGATAGGGGGATGATGTGGCGCACGCACCACGTCCTTGAGTCGTGAGTTAAGCGGCGGCGTTAGGCGTGACATCGAACATGATTGTGCCCCGTAGGTTCGGTAGGTGTGGCGTCCAACAACACGCCTCGTGACAGCCGCTACATGTCTGACACCCGTGACAAGATCTTTTAGTTGTAACGTTACATTGCCTCCGAAACCGTTATAATAGACGATATTTATTGCCGTCGTCCTCTCTGTCCTCTTTGACAGGGGAGACGAATTCATTCAGTCTCAATTTTCTGTATCTCAATCAGCCAATCCATTCGATTCGCCACATGGAGGTGGACGCCAACATCGACCCGTTCGATGATCCGTCGGCCGGGTCCGATCGCCGGCAATACTGCTGCTGCTTCCCCTTCTCGAGCCCCTGGGAGCGGATCCAGGCGCCGGCGCCCGCCGAGGGAGGGGACGAGCGTCGCCGGTGGTGGAGCGGCGCGGGGTTGAGGGCGCTGATGATGAAGGGGAGGGAGTGGTCGGAGCTGGTGGCCGGGCCGAGGTGGAAGACCTTCCTCCGGCGGTTCGGGCGGAACCCTAACAGGGGGAGGGCGGCGGGGGGGCTGGCGAGGTTCCAGTACGACCCGTTGAGCTACGCCCTCAACTTCGACGAGGGCCAGGGCGGCGACAGCCCCGAGGGGGGATACGACGACCACCGCGACTTCTCTGCCCGCTTCGCTGCCCCGGCGCCGCCGCCGCCAGCCGCCAGCGGGCGCTGAGGTGTTCTTTGACCTGGAAAGGGTGGTCAACGCACGTTAGCGTAATCGGATTGGGCTTCCTTTTTGTTACCTGTTGGTAGATCGGCTTGGTGGTGTCGTCCAGTCTTTATGTTCCTATTCCTTTTCGCTGGCCTTGTCTGGTCCTGTTATTGTTGGTGTGGTAGAAACCGTACGATACAGCGTCGACTTGTTGCTTTTTGTTCTGATACAATATTTATGAAACTAGGAAGGTATTGGCTTTGTGACATGTATTGGTTGCTTAAAATTCTTTAATACAATGTGTATAACTACTTCGTTACTTCTGGTCAACCTCATGTATACCGAATGGGTTGCCGTGTATGCCAACTCGGTGCCGCCCGCTTCTAACCCCAATGCCAAACCAGAAATATATCCAGGCTTTACTGTTCCCTAAAAAGGGCATTAAAACTCATGCAGATTTGCCGTAGGTTACAGCAAATCAAAGTCAACCTTCCTGGACTGGAACATCAACAAACGACGACAGTTAAAACCAGAAACCAATATTCTTATACTCTATTTAGCATCATCACAACAAAAACAATATTAATGTCAAGAACATCCTGATCTTGTGGGAAAGCGATTACATTACCATTTGTTAACCGAGACAACATCTATCCATGATGGCTGACAGGCCTTGGCCTTCCGTGTATGGAAACCAAGTAGTTTGTGGTTTTACCACAAAAAGATTTGGATTGAGCAAAGAATCATTACTCCGGAAGAAATCAGTGAAAATTCTGGATCAACCATACTGTCTCGCACGGCGCAAGGTCAGGAAAACCAGTAAATTCTTCTGTTGCTCAGCTGAGCCTTATCTGCCTGCTTATTTCCTCCTGGTCTGCTTTATTTTTTCCTTCCACAAGGTAATAGATAACTGCTACCGGCGTAGGTTCCCCTCAAGCCTCTCTATGGCAGCACCAACACGGCTTCTATTAGTCTCTTCCTCCTCATCCAGATCAGAAGGTTTAGAATTTAATCTCTCTTCATTTGCCTTCTCCACCAACTTCAGATGTACCCAACCTTGCAAAGTAAAGCAATGAATCAACATTGTGTCTCACGTTAAACAACATAAAGTATTAAGTCTTTCATTGTTATCGATAGAAGTAACAGAATGCAAGCTAGGTTATAATCACAAGCCGTATCACAATCTAAAAGGAGTCGACAGATTTATATTACCTAAAGGGAAACAAATTCCAGCTCCCAGGACTGAACCAAGCAACACATTCCTAGCACGCCACTTCAAGGAACCTGGCACTGATATTACAGAACAATACGAGTTAAAAATTTGAATGCTAGCTGATAACACACCCACTAACCATTCCTAATCTTCTCTACAATTCATATACAGAATGATTAAGATACTTAATTGATAAGAATAATCGGCATAATGTTTTGTGTGTGTAAAAGGATGACAAGCATAAGAGTTAAATATCAAAACATGAATGAATCTACTAATAAAGTTGGTGACTACATATGCTGAAGTCATCAATAATTTGGTGTCTGAGAAAAATCTGAAACAGTTGGTTGATAAATTAGTCAGTCATCCAGAAATCCAGAATACAATATGCATATCATCATTGGATGCCATAGTCTGTGTTATCGAGCAATTAATAGTTTAAAACATTAGTAATAAATAAATAATGCATATATTGCTTGCACATGTGCAATATCATGATACCACAGCCTTAAGAAGTATAGATTTCAAGTCAGGCAACATTCAAACTAAATAGAGATACACTTGTCAAATAAGGTAATGGAAACAAAAAGAATATTAATTGATTAAATATAGAGGCAAAATCAATTCTTCTAGTTTACATGATCAAATTTTTTTAGTATTACTAGTGGGCAGAAAATAACTCAGAGCATCCTATGTAAAATAATCTCTTGTAGGAAAAATAAGCTACTTCATTGTCAAGGAAAACCATTCTTTGATCAGACAGATGTAGGTAAAACACAGAAGAAAATAGTCAAATTGTCTCACTTATAAGACCAAACATTGCAGCAGTTGCAGAACCAGCACCAGCCACATTATACACATCATGCACACCACGCTTTTCAGCCAGAAGATTTTGCAAGCCATAAAATGCTGCAGTGAACATGCCAAGGCGAACACCACCAACAATTGAACCACGAGCTACACGGATGAATCTTTTCTCCATTGCATCTCTCATTATTCTGTACTGTTCACGCTTGTCTGGAGTACTCCCAAGCTTCAACATAACTTCTGCATCCTTGCTCTGACAAGATAGAATATGCTTACCAATCAATAGAAAAGGGGCAGTTAAGTTATAAAAAACCAGCTTCTTACATCAACACACCTATACTGCTATACCCCTGACTTCCAAAGCAATTTCACAATGCCGTTGCTTTGCTTGCTTTTGGTTGATCTTGTTTGGCAAAATGTAATAGGCCAGACCCCAGCATTTAAATAATTGCAAAAATAGACGTGCATGAAACTTGCTACAATGATAAAGGCAAAGATTCCCATAAATGTGATAATGCATGACAAAAAGAAGAGAAACAAAATGAATGAGCTTGTTTTTCAATGAAATTAGTAATATAACGATGCGTGCCGTCATTCCATATGATAGATAATCCTAGTCAAGAATAAGATACAAGGCAATAGAAATCCTAAGTTCTGATCAAGTTGGGACCACAGCCCTTCTCAGTCTCGAGTTCACAATGCTACCATGCAGACGAAACCATCAACCTATCTGAGTTCATAAAGGACTTGTAGAGCAAAATCTAAGATATTAGCCCCTAACAGATACAAATTTCTTATCAAGATATATTTTTAACAATTAATGAGTTTTCCAACTAAGTCCCAGAAATCAGTAGTCAAAACGAGTTGTCAGCTTGACCGATAAAGCATATAGGCTGTTTAAAAAAGGGGTCCCCAGTGAAGCATACAATACAGTGAAGGTATAGTAAGTGGTTCTCTAATGAGAAATAAGACAAACAATCTAAACCAAACTTTTTCCCCAAAAAAAACGCTTACCACAGATGCAGAAGCCTCTTTGCTTCCACCATATAGCAGTCCTGCAAATACTCCAACAATAGTTGCTGTACCCCAATTAACTGTTCCAGGCAGTTTTCGACTTTCCTGAATATGAAACAATGTATTAAACCATTGGAAAATATGCATCTCAAAAGAATTCTTTCAAATATCAATTCCACAGTTATGACCACTCTATTGCAAAACTCTTCCCCGTATTCAGCAGTGTAGTACATCTAAAAATATTTTGCTAATCTGGAAACTCTTCCCCGTATTCAGCAGTAATAATATAATAAACAGAAGATGGTACATGGGAGAAACAAAAGCAGCCTGGATTTTCTACCTACAAGTTTGACGTCTCAATTCACTTTCCTTTAGAAGCCTCACATATCTTATATCCATATTGGCAGAGAACACAAAAAAGGCAAGTTTGAGACTGTGGATGCCCTCTTCAAACTCGAATCCTCTTTTTCTTCTTGTTTATTCTTGTACTCTATCTGATATAATCCATATTGCTCGCTGTTCCACCTTTTATGATGGAGTTTGCTAATAATGGCTTGAATAAAAAATCTCATTTTTGACATTTATTTTCTAATGTTGCAGCTACTGATCATTGCTTATCTAGCATCCCCTATGGGTGTTATAGCTGCAATGAGTATTAATAGTAGGGTTGGATGTGCATGAGCTCCAAAGGAAGTTGAAACTGATGTAACAAGTTATGGGTTGAGCTTTAGCCATCTAAGACTGCTCTATTGTCGAGGTATCCACAACAAGATCCTTAAAATAAATTCTTCTTTTTGCTGACATTTTGTAAGTGACAAATAATAAAGTTTGACCATTAAACCTGCTTTCCTGACTATCTTAATATGCAGGCATGCAGCAGCCATATATTTGTTTCATGCAGCCATATCCATTACACAATAGCACACAATCAACTCACAAAAGCAAAATAATGCCTTTATCACAGCCCATGGAATATGAAAACTTTTTCATTCAGATCTCCCAAAAATCAGATGTCAATAAGAAACACCTTATCAAGCACAAATATGGAAGAGTGGATTTGCTCAACATTCTTCACAATTGCAATTCAATTTAACCACATCATATTTTCTAGATCTAGGCTTAATTGAAATAAAATTTTAGTTGAAGTGGGTCCTTGTGTTCTAATCAAACAATGACTTCAGTATATAACTTACCTAATTCAGTGTCATTGTTAATTTATTTTGATAGTTTGAATCAGCTAAGATTTGAATTTGTTTCACCTTTTGACTAAAGGTTAGAAATAGCTGCAGCTATGATTGAGTATATTGTGCAGCACCTCTTAGCCTTTATCTAAAAGAGTCTTGTATAAAAACAAATTCCCAAAAAGACAAGCAGAGATTCAGACCTACTTTAAGGATAGCAAGGTTGCTAAAAAAGGATATTCGTAATCAAAATTTACATCCATCCTTCACACAGGCTGGAGGAGCCTAGAGCAATGGTCCACAGTTTATCTTCTCAGTACAGCAAAAGATCAGTATCCCGGCCAAACATAAACTCCTTTTTCCTTTTTTTTTCCTTTTATTTGGACAAATAGAACACTATCAAAAATCATTTCCCAATCTAAAAAGTAACTATTGTACCATAAAAATCTCCACTTAACTACAAATCCGCATAAGTGTAAATCTACAAATATAGCATAGCCATCATGTATCCGGTCAGAATCACCAAGGAACAGGTAAGTTCCTCTTGTAAGCAATAGTAACTTGAACCAACCTGCCTAATAGAATGAAAAGCACTCTCTTTCGGTAACCAAAACGATCAATAATTCAAGAAACAGAACAAATCAAATCCATAAGTGATTCGGAATCGAAGTCTTCTCTTAACTCCAGGGGCGGAAAATTCCTCACCATGATTTTGATGTCCATGAACATGGTAATGCATAAATAATGAGATAGGAGCAGATAGAAAGGACATACTTTGAGATCGGATGATGGCATCGCTGAGTCGACAACGGCGCCATCGACACCAACACTGCTGGGCGGCGACTGGGGGCCCCCCTGCTGCTCCTCCCCCTCCTTCATGACTCCGCGTCCGCGCCACTCGACCGCGATGAGATATCAAGAACAGGGGCTCAGGACGACAGACAACGTCGAACCTAAAACCTAGAATGCCCCACCTCTTTGGCCGCGGACGAAACTTAATGAACCGAACCGCTTCGGTCCGGAATATTTTGAATCGGGACGCCCTCAGACCAAAGATTTCATCCAAGGCAACAATAACGGAACAAGAAAAGCCGATCAACCCAGGAAAACCCCTACTCACCGAGGCAAGGCGATCAAGAAATAACAAGATGGAGAAGTGGATCCAGATCTCCAAAGGAACCGGCAAGAACAAACACGATCGAGCACAAGAACAATATTCAGCCAACAAGAAGAACAAACATGTGAAAAGAACGGAAGATGTACCCGGTACGGTTCGGTCCCGAATATTTCGAATTGGGATGCGGTCAGATCAAGGATTTCATCGACGACGACAATAACGGAACAAGAAAGGCCGATCAACCCAAAAACCCTGCTAATTCACAGACCCAATGAAGCAAGGCGATCAAGCAATAGCAAGATGGAGATCTGGATCCAGCGCTTCAAAGGAACCGGCAAGAACAAACACGATCGAGCACAAGAACAAGATCCAGCCTACAAGAAGTACAATCGAGTGAAGACAACGGAACATGTGCCCGGTCCGATTCCGCCCACGAATATTTTGATTTACGCGGTCAGATCAAAGATTTCATCGAAGGCGACAATAACGGGACAAGAAACGGTGATCAACCGAGGAAAGGCGATCGAACAATAGCAAGATAGAAAACCAGATCCCGATCTTCAAAGGAACCGGCAAGAGAAAAACACGATCAAGAACAAGAACAATCAATCAACACGATCGAAAAAGGATGCGATCGATTCCAAAGAAGAAGAACGAGCGCCGATCACCTGAGCAGAATCCCCACCCCGTCGCCCGCTTGACGAGAGCGGATCCGCAGCCGGCCAGGGATCGTTCCTCGATCCACTACCCGGCCCGTTGAGAATAGGGTTTTCCCGTTCGGCCCAGTTCTCATATGGGCCGCCCGAAGTAGAGTCCGAACCTCTAATAAAAGGAACGGATCAGAACGCGACAGCTATGGCTTTTAGATTCGCGCAGGGTGCAATGAACCGTAAGTGATCCCCTTTTTTTTTGGTATATTGTTGTTGATCACAATATATTGTGGTGCTTTCTTTCACATAAAATTAAAAAAATTCTTTATAAACACTTTAATATAAGTCGAGTTTTTTTCGAACTTAATTGATTTTGTCTAAACCATTATTACCGAAGCATAAATTCCGAGATCGTATAAATAAAATTAAATATCTAAAGAAAATCAAGATTTTACACAACAGATCAAAAAGATGAGCACTTAAAAGAGACAACTTGTAATGTTCACATAAAAAAAAATAAAAATAAAAAGGTAAATAGACAGATTTTTTTTTTGAGTCAATAACAAAATCCTAAAGAATTTATAGCCAGTGGAAGGGAAAGGTGATGATGACACTGAATACATTAGATTCTTCCTTAACTGGAACTGAGTCTCACAAAGTGGCCATAGGCAGCAGAGAGCCATGTTGGATGGTCCTCCTTTTGTTCTTGTCAGTTCTTTGGAGGTGAATGCAGACAACATCAGACGCACTGTCCTTTGATTGGCTTACATTGCTTGCTGGTGGTGCAGAGGCCTCAATTATAATCCTTTTTCTTGGCTTACAGTTTGCAGTGTCAGAATTCATAAGAGCTTGGTCCTGGAAAACATAAAAAGCCTGATAAGAGTAGCATTTGTAGTTGTTGATTCACAGATTTTCCATACACATGCAAACAAGAGACAAAAAATGGCACTGCCAATCTGAAATCAGCTTCAGGGGGTTGGAAGAACTCTTTCCATCATCTTACATTACTCCCAACACAGTTGTTATGACTCTTCAGTTGTTTTACTGCTGAGTTCAAAGTTGTAATCTGCACTCTGAAACTCACAGATGGATGTAGACATTTTCTCACCCTCCTCTGTCTCATCCAATCACTCAGTAAAAGACTAGATTTCAACACAACCATATCAACCTCATAACAAAACCAAATGGGCAGTCATTCATTGATTGTTTGCATGCATTAGCTTGAATATCCAATTAAATTGATTTTGTTTGTTTGTTGCTGCCCCATTAAATTCTTTGCTGAAACAGTCACAGTAAATAGATTGTCAGTTGTAAGATTCAAGAGTGACAAGATAAAAGGTGAAATATATGGGTTCAGAACAAAATACCCTTCAGAGATGTTGACATTCCAAATCTTTCAGCATGAGAATCCCTTCAACTGTACTCCATCTGACTTCTAAAAGATCATTACCACTACAAGAAGTCTTAAAAGTTACATCAAAGCACAAACACAAACTTATTCATATATAATGAGAGTGTATAATCGAGATGATGTTGAAGGCTTTGGTTAAATGCAAAGCAACATTTACTGTAGAAGAAACAGTCTGAAGCCCTGAAGGCCTACTTGAAGTAATTCAGATTTGATCAAGCAGTATGTCCATAATGGAGTATGAAACTTTATCTTCAAAAGCATAAACACATGTTATTCTTCAGATGTCACGCACGATCAATAGCGAAATCTTATTTTTCGGTAGAAATAATAGCACGAAACATCGGTCTTCAAGCTTCCAGTTAGATTTTTTTTTTCACTTTAGAAAGATCAAAACATATATCTATATCTATATAAATAGTGTATTGACTCAATGATCATCCTATATACATCCCCAAAGATCATTGGAATGAGTTGTTGGATTTAGTGTCTTCGACAGACCCTCTGGGTTAATTGACAGGACAACTACTGAAGACAAAAATCCAAGAAACCTACAGCAATGGCAGAACTAACACAATCTCTTTAGATAAGGAACATCCATCAACTGAATCCATGGCCAAGTCCTTTGGATTCTCCATCATCCTATGGGAAAGGAGAGAAAACAGGAGCATAATTGCCCATCTACTAGAAGACATTGATTGCAGGAGATGCTACTTGACCAGAGAAGCATCCTAAACCAAGGTTTGTGACTATCTAACGTCTATGGAAGCTGAGCACAGTTATGAAGCTACAGTAGCTTCAGATGTTCTCTGCAGGCTTGACAATTAGATGTGTTTCTTAAGCCTTCAAGAAATGGAACAGTAGAAGAATTTAAGCTTGAATAACACAAGATATCTGCATCACTACAACATAAGGTTAGCATCATATACCTCTTCACTGCATGTTAAAAGAATATAAAAGAGTTGAAGTAGATGAAATGGAAGAGAAGCAAAAGAAAGATGGAGTTCTGAGAAGCCATCATTAAAGGAGGACAGGATTTATCACATTACAGCCATGGTTCATGCATCCTCCAAGCTTGGCCTGATCCATGGCAAGTGCCCATCCAAAGGAGCAGAATCTGAACACACTGGGAACTTCCCCTTCTTATCAGACCACTGCCAGATCTTGGACACAGAAAAGCTCTCATCTCTGCTCATAGCATTGACCCTTCTTCCCCTGCCATCGCCGTTCATGGTGGAACCTGTAAAAGCCACCTGGAGACTGGCATCAGACACCACATACTGATAAGAGCCCATGGAGAAGCACCTCCTGGCATCCAAGTTGCTACTGCTAGTCTCCCCTATCTCTCTGCTTACTTTACTCTCGCCCATGCTGCTGCCATCGTCGACAGCACCGTCACTGGCTCCAGTGCTCAGCTTCTTGAACTTCCCAAGCTTGACAGAGAACATTCGCTCATCGGCTTCCGCTTCCTGGTCCCCGGAGAATCCCTCCTCATCCTCCTCCCTGTAATCGTCGAACCCATACATGGGATTCTCGATGGCCAGCCCCTGCACGAATATGGCTCCCCGGCAGAGCGGGCAGGTGGAGTTGGAGAGCAGCCATGTGTCGATGCAGCCGAGGTGAAAAGCATGGCCGCAGACGGGCAGCAGCCGGAGCTTGTCGTCGGGGGCGAATTCACATAGGCAGACGGCGCAGTCGAACGGCTCTTTGGAGCCAAGGATCTCCTTGTAGAGGAAGAGCGGCAGCGCGTCGATGAAGGCCTGGTCGAGGCCCGAGTCGTGGAGGTGGAACAGCTGCTGGAGCTGGCGCTGGAGCGTGCCGGGGCCCGGGAGGTCGGCGTTGCGGCGGCGGCGGGCGTGGGCGTTGGAGTGGGGGGAGGAGGAGATGGAGGAGGACGGCGGCCGCTTCCTGAGGAGAAACCTGACCAAGAGGTGGAGGAGGCCAGAGATGAAGAAGAGGGCCGCAAGGATGACAATGGTGAAGAGGACTGCGGGGCTTATCCTGCTGGTTGGGGAGGATGCTGCTGCTGCTGCAGCTGTTGTTGTTGGAGATGGCTGGAACGGGATGGAGTCCCGGCTCAAGGCACCAAGATGAGAGGAATGGTGAGATGAAGAAGCTCCACCCCTGTTCTTGACCTGGGTAAGAAGCCAGTGAGGCCCGGAGGACTGGTAAGGTGTGACAACCATCTCCTTCCTCATGGACTTGGAGCAGACCCGCGAGTCATCTGACGGAGCGGCGAGCAAACTTGGAGCTTCACAGCAAATCCGGGACTCTAGGTCACGAAAAGGAGGTAGCTTGGCCAAAAGAAGGAAGCTTTCCTGGTTCCAAACCAAGTCCAGATCACATGCACCCAGAGAAGGATAAGGAGGAGGAGGAGGAAGAAGCAGCAGGAAGGGAAACCATCAAGGCCGTCTTTTTCCCTTAAACCAGGAAATTACCAGACAAGAAGAGGGATCAAGAACAAGATCAAACAAGGAAGGAGGACACCACACAAAACTACAGATCCACCCAATCCCATCCCCATGTCTTCTTCAACTGTACCAGTAGCAAAGAGAAGTAACAAATGTTACTCCCATTTGGCCCACTTGGACACCAAGAAAATACATGGGGAAGGGAAAGGAAAGAGAGCAGCTTGTTGTACTGGTGGCTTGCCTCCTGTGTGGGGTGTGTCCTCCACTTGCAAGTGTGGACATACTTTGATTTGGTGGGTTTGGTGTTTTGCTCTCTGGTTCCATTGTTAACTTCCCTGCACCCTTTTGTGCTATTACAAGTAATCTGCACTCCAAAGCCCAAGGTGGAATTTTGCTGAAACTTTCTCCAGTCTCCATAACCCAACTCTCTAGATCATTGCTGTAACTCCAATTGGAGATCAAATTCTGTCACATTCCATTTGTTTGCTTCAGCAGATGGGAGTTGGATTTGGGCTCATTATGGGCATCCAGTAAACTTCCTCAAGAAAACAGGATCTGTGGCTTAAAGTACAGAGGTTGCTTCTCCATTGGATTGCTTTGAGCTCTGTTTGCAGCTTCTGCACCCTACTGCAGCATTCCTTGGAAGCAAGCTTTGAATCATGTGACCCAAGTTTAGTCCAAGCATGGAAGAAGGTGATCAGGCCACACTGAATGGAAAGTAACCTGATGGAGTGGTTTCTAATTAGACTGTAATGTGTGCACCATCATGCAGCTGAACATGAACAGGAAGAGGATGCAGAACATCTACCTTTTCTTTTGGTTATGAGAGTGAAATATCTGTATAAATTCATTAAGATTGTACTGCACAAGTACCTTAAAGTTGTCAGACTATGAATTCCTTGTCTGATGGATCTCCCCAGAAAAAGAAAAATCTGACACACAGGTTATTAACAACCAGAAAATAGATGTGGAAGAATTTGTCCATTATAAGACTGCATGCTAAATTGCTGATAGAAGCCGAGACATCTTTGCTGCAGAATGAACCTGAAAAGACAAGCACTGCAAGAGTATTCAGGCAGTGAGGGGATCTCTTTTTGTGCAAGGAATAGTTTGCTAAAGAAATGCTCTCTCTTAATTCTGTGGTGGTCTTATTATGGAAATCATTCTTAGATTATGATCCTTGCATAATCTTATATATATATATGATGTTATAATGGAAAAATGAAATATAGTGCAAGCAAGAAATAAAAATTGTAACATGATCAGGTTTTGGAAAGGAACAACTTATTTCTGATAGGAATAATCAAAGATCAAAGAATTTCTAAAGAAAATTTCGAACTAATTCGGAATTTGCTCCAATTGGTCACAATTAGTTTATAAGAATCAGAAATAGAATTAGAAGATCATGAGTTGTGAGTTTGGACATAAGGATAATGGTAGTTTGGGTCAAGAAAGCTTTGGTCAGCCCAACCCATGCTTTCTTCTTCTTCTTCATCATCTTCTTCTTCTTAGAATAAGTGGATGATTTAAGTCCACCAATTGAGACCTTCCACATGCCATCCAACTCAACTAGTGTCCCCATCTTGTGAGTGGTGTCTCTTATCATCTCTGGGTTTCAGACCCACAGTCATATGATTTCTCTCTCTCTCTCTCTCTCTCATGGATACTTCCCACATGCTTAAGTTTCCCTGAGTGCTGCATCATTATCTGCACCCACCAGGTTTAGCCCAGGAGCACATGCACCTTAGAACCCTTCTGCCCCATGAACAGCCTAAACCTAATGGACTGTAAACTGTACACCATCTCCACTGCTAATAGATTGCTGTCCAAGCAACTTCTAGACTTGGACTAAACAAAGTGCAATGGTGCCACAGCTAGGGTTCTTCTCTCTCTCTCTCTCTCTCATGGTTATGACAACTTCCAAGCAACAACAGAAACCAGGTACTACTAGCTCTAACTCAATTGAATAGGAAAGCTAATTAGTAGCTGAAGACGAACCCATACTTCTCTCCAAAGTTTGCTTGGGGAGAAGCAAAGCCTTCATCATGCTTGTGATGAGAGCAAAATGTTCTTCCACCATGCATGTGTGCTATGATTAGGTGCTGATCTGGTTTTCATACTGCTCAGAGAAAGCAGCCATCATGAAAGAGAGAGAGAGAGCATGTGAGAGCACGAAGTTGCCCCTGTGTTGCACAGTTATCACACATGGAAAGATCAAACCGTTCTGTCTCCCCTCTCTTGATCTTTCAAGCAATCGTACCCCATACGAGACATGAAACGATGGTAAATGTAGCTCAACACCTAAACCTTTGGTCCATCAAGGGAGAGAAGAAGGGGGAATAACTCTGAGCTTTTCGTGTAGCGTGGCACCCACCACAAGCCACCCTTGTCAACCGGGAACTGAGAAATGGACATGGAAGGAGGAGAGACTCGTCATGTGCTTCCATGTGCAAGCAGTCCCAGTTCTAATCTAATCCCCCCCACCGCTAAGACTAAAAGCCAACAACACCTCCCTCACGACACAACAAGCCTCTTTTGTTTACTTCCTAATCCTCTTCTTCTCGAGTTAAGCTTCCCATGTTCCTCCCCTAATGGTCCCCCTCCTCACACTGCTGATCATTTAGAGTTGACACATGTTGATTGGTTTAGGTCTCATTATGAGACTTGTAGCTTTGCACCATCTTCTGCAACACAAGGGGGTGCCGAACATGGTGTTTGTGCTCAGGCAAGAGAGCTGTGTTTGGTGGCCACCTAAGATGTTTTGCCATGAGAAACATGCCACGGGTTGAATCAACGAGGACAGACATGATCATAGTTGGACTTTTGAGATTCTTTTTGTGCTAGGTGGTAGACTTTGCTATTGGGCACAAGTCAATTTCATGTGCTCAAAGTCAGCAGCCAACTTATTTCGTGTAGCTTCTCGCAGTTGCATGCAAAGAATCTTTAAGTTGAATACTACGAGTTTGTATGGTTACAAAGATCAAAAACATGGATTATTACAGAAACAAAGATGAACTCTCTATCCCTTACTTCTTCTTAGAGGAACAAGTTACAGATTCTTCGTGGATTACGATGACACCCACGCATGCAGTACTGCAGGAAACATCCTCACGTAAACCCTATTGATGAGGGGAATCGAATGTTACACCCTCTGTCCCACGTGTCAGAGCTGTCAGACACGTGGGCAAGACATGACGTGGCCCGCCTCCAGCTAGACGACAAAATGCCGCCATGCTTTAGCATTGTCCACCGGGCCCCACACCCCCCGAGGTGGCTCGCATGGCTTTTACGCAGCAAACATCACTCCTCCTCGCTTATCTATATATCCTCCTCCTCCGCCTCGTTTACAGTCTCATCCTTCTTTCCATTGATCTCGGCTTCCGCCTCACGCTGCTCTCCGTCGTCTTTTTCCTAATGGAGAGGCCATGGCTATTAGAGAAGGCAAAGAGGCGTAGGAATGGATCGAAGCGCCACGGGATCTCCGGCACGAGACATCAAAGGAAAGGGCGGAGCGCTTCCCGCGCGTCGGTGCAGAGAAAGGTGAGGAAGCTCCAAGGTCTCGTGCCCGGCGGCCGGCGGTTGCAGCCGGAGCAGCTCTTCTCGCGCACCGCCGACTACATATTCCAGCTGAGGTTGCGAGTGCATGTCTTGAGGGCTCTTTCCAAGATGTGCCTACCATGAGATGTGCATGGACACACATGTATCTTCTATGTTACACTTGGTCTTGTTGCTTCTCTTACTAGTAGAGTTAAGGTAATATGATGCGAAAACTTGTTTCAGTTGCTTTGGTGATGTGAAAGTTTTCAGTGTAGTTGATGATTGAATGACTTGTGGATAGTTTGCTGGTTCATGTCAATTGCATCTTCTCTCTCTATTGAGTATTCTTCATGTGCTATAGATTTCTTGAAGAGGTCTGTCTTGTACTTCTCTCACTATATATTACTGTGTGCTGTATCTGCAAATTTTATATGAAGGAAGAAGATGAATGAAAGACTAAGAAAACAAAGCTGTTGGCATATAATAAAGGCAATGTCAAACCATTTCAAGGAATTATAGATTCAAGTAGTCTATATTAAATGAACCATTAGAAGATACAAGTAGGACAGGCAGAGAATTGAAATCATATGCAATGATGCTACTTTGTCAATGACAACATGTCATTCCATACTTTGTCTTGAGGGTAAAGGAATTAGAGAGATGGAGAAAATTAATGTCATCATTCCAGTTGAATAATAAGATGCATACTTGGAGGATAAGGATGTGTTTTCTTGGCTGTTGCACAGCAGGTTCTAAGTTTTTTCCCAAAGTTTTGATGAGAAGAATGAAGGGAAGAATGCTTTGGACCTGAGAAGAGGATTGGTTTTCTGTAACATCACCACAGCCAAAAGCTTAACATCTTTTGGACCAGCACTAGCTGCCAAATGTAGGATAGCATCCATTATTCTCAGAGTTACTGCCAACTTTGCAGCTCAGACAACCCTTATGTAGTAAAAGTAATATGCCTGCCATAAAAAATTTGGGCATTAAGAACATTCTCTTTCTCAATCTTAAAATGTCAAGATCACTATGCTGGTTCAGAATACATTGATACAGAGTCATAATTACAATACTGTGACAATGTTGTTTTTATAGAAAATTCTCAATCAAGTATTAATTGATGAAGAACAACATGGTGAGACAAGGGTCATTTACTTTGAAGGATAGACCATTATATAGATAAACAGGAAGAAGAAGAAGAAGAATAGAAAAGGTTGACACAACTCAGAAATGGCATCACTGCGATTTCTCTCAGTTCCAACTTAATCAACTGTCATGAGCAGAAAGGTATACTCATGAACTATTACATTAGATTAATGTTTTTAATTATTAAGATATTAGAATTAAATTGGGACATCCTGTGAGAACTATATGCTCGATGATGGATTATTAAGTTTGCTATGCAACATGGTGACAAAAGATTGAAACCAATATCAAAAGCTACAGTCTGCATGGGTGAGAAGGAATTAGCACAAAGCTTTGTGGAAGAATCGTATAGAGAGAGAGAGAGAGAGGAATTCGACACATCAAAAAGAAGCTTGCACCATGAAGAGACAGATCATGTGGGCGGAGGCACACACACAGAATCATCAACAAGGTTGCTCCACCCGGGCAAAGCATTGATCTCATGATCTTGGAGCTCCTCGAACACCCACTTGTGGCTTTGATCTGCTGCAACTCTTCCTGCCAAACTGTCACTTGAACAGATGGATATATCAGAAGAATTAAGGACTGGGAAATGGACAGTGTGCCATTGTTACTAACCCTTCTCCATAGCGGTGGATCTCATCTTGAAGAAGATCTCAAGCTGGAGACTTTTCATGCATGTGGAAGCAGCAAAATTGCAGAATCCATCTTCACATAAATACTTTGGTAATAAAGGAATTCATATGCCTCCATCTTTGATCATTGAAATGGCTTGATTTGTATGGGTTGGATTTATAGACTACTGATCCACTAACAGATGTTTTGGAATTCCCTTTTTATCATTGAAATACTACTTATAAAAATATAAAATATATTTTTGATCAATTTTATCAGAAAAAAGTCTTCAGCTTTCATTTTTCTCATTTTTCGAAGAAAAGTGTTTGCTTGATAGTAGCGTGTATATTTTTTTAAGGGCTTCTTCTTCTTCTTCTTCTTCTTCTTCTTTCAAACCCTAGCTTGACAAAAGCAAAGTTTACTATGCCTAAGGTGTGGTAGAGATGCATTCATTGAAGAAGAAGCTGCATGATCCAATTTGGTCAGTCATACTTAGTCACCACTTCATTTGTCTAATCTTTCTTTTCAGACATGTCTAAAAAGCCATAAACACACAATAATTCACTTCCCACTTCTAAATTCCTGCAGTTTTCTGTTGCATTGAAGCAGATTTCCTGATAGTTTGGTTTTTGAGGTCAACTACCATTAGGTATCACAAAGTTCTAAATTTCTTCAAAGTTCATCCTAATATGGAGTCTTGCATGACAGCCATGACAGTATGGTTATCATCTGTTGAATTCCCTTGCCAAACCTTATTTAACTAAAAATAATATGACTACCCTGCTTCCATCTTCATATCCTTGTTTGAGATCCATCCTTAATCCTACTTGCAATGGTAATTCCTGATATTTGACTCAAAGTGTCCATTTATAACCAATATGTTTCCAAATGTTCATGTCATACATGGATCCATCACATGATTACATAATACATTCTGATACAATTGTGTAAATAATACAAACACGAAAGTACTGGCGCATTATTTCATTGCCACTATATTTTCCAGAAGATTTGGTCAGCTACCACTCTTTTCCCAAGTGAAAGAAAACGTGTAATAAATTATTTTGATGCCAATAAAAACTCAGTCATAGATGAAAGATGACTGCAAGCCATCTTTATATCATTTAATTTTTGTTCTTAGAACCCCTAAAGGTCTCACCATAGTAGTAAGCACTGCCAACCATCAATGCAACTGTTGCACCTTGAAATACAACTCGTGCCCTCATCAGCTTCTGTCCCAGCTGAGAATTTCCTTGCCTGAAGCTAACTAGACCTGCCGTAAGCACACCGGCAGTCATAAGTGCACCTGAAAATTTCTTCAATCAATTTAAATTTAAAGAAAAAATGATAACAATAATGTTATTTAAAGTTTATGTATCATTGTTGGCAGAAACGAGTAGGCAACTCAACTTCTACAGCGGAGTAGGGACAACCACAACAGAGAAACTGACATGTGGAGCCATCACAAGCATAACCATTGACAAAATTACACCAAGAAATACTTTATGCAGACTAAACAACTTAATAATGGTTCAAACTTAGGGTCTAAGAAACCAACGGAATGTACTTCTGATCCAAAACTTAGCTCAGAAAAACAATACTAATTTTCGTCTCCTGGTATCATCATACCACCATTCAGGAAAAAGTGTATCATCAAGCAAACTAAGGAACCCGACAGGGCTATCTAACGTATCACTTAATTCACATATGCTAAAACATCCAGTTTAAGTCACAACATATTCTAGTTCAATCCAAATAAGATTGCAGAACATCGCTACACATTATAGTCAACAAAACACTCTTATTGATACCCAGCTGGCTGCGCACCAATGATACTTACGATGGATCAGGTCATCTAATAAATGCACTGGAAAAAAATTGTAAAAACCACCAGATTATATTTGATGGTGCTGATTTCCTGTCCAAGTATTCCTTCATTAATTTGAAAGGAAAATATCGAGGCCACAAATGCTTTCTTGTGTATTATAGTTCATTTCCTGCTCCATCATCCTTCTCTGTGTATATATAGAAAGAGAGTTTAAAACAGTTCGAGAGAATTTAGACCTCAACCTAACTTGAAGCCTCCGAATCAAAGATCAGCTAAAAATAAGAATCACTCGTGCAAATCAGCCAAAACTAACTTTATTTCTGCTTGATTAAATTTACGCACAAATTAGCATCTGCAACCAGTTGAACCTTTAAAGAATATACAAAAAAACCCAAAAAACAAGAATCAAGGGATTGGATCAGCCTGATAGCATTTGAGACTAGGATTGGACGGATTGGACAAAGTCCCAACTTCTTAGATGACCTGGCTAGCTGTGGCCTGATCTAGTTTATCCTGGCCCATAATAAATTGGTGGTTAAGAAAAGAGATGAAAATAACCATCTGGACTTTTTTTTTTCCGCCTTTGGTTATAGGTCAAAGACATGTATAATGCATGTCCTAAAAGATTCTGATGATAACAATCAATTTCAAGCGCTAGTAAACTCTTGGTGTGACAAATTTCTAAACTTCTGCACAACTACTTCAAAATCATTCGAGCTATATTATTCAAGAACAAACTACTTCTGTAAAATTTAATATAACAATAAGGAAAACTAATTTTACTTATCCTTCTAGTGGCATTAATAATAAAATAATGAGAAGCAAACATTGCACGACATCAAATAAACCGTAAACCAGATGAAACATTCTTTAAAAGCTCAACCAGATACACAGATTTCACTTACCATGGTGATTCAAGATAAGGAACATGTTATCCAAGAAGACCTATTGCACATAGTACAACACAAACTGACTACCCAACTCAACGTAATTAATTACATATAACTGCGCCTACTAAACAAAACAGTCTAATACGAAGACCAAAGATATTCTTAGAGGGCCTTATTCAGCTATATCCATTATTAAAGACAACTACATTGGCAATATAATGGTATATTGAACCAAAAAGAAAATATAAAACCAAAACTAATGCAAGACTAGGCCGACACATCAACTTATCAATTCAACCCATCGTGATGGAGAACCCTAACGTTTTGATTGATGCACCAATAACTCTTCACCGCTCCATAGAATCCATAATCAAAACCAGAAATTTCCCCCAAATCCAGTCCTTGAGGTTCTTTAATCTCCCAATAGAAAAATAAATGAGAGGAAACCCACCAAAACCGACAAAATCTAATTTTTCCAATCGAGTTATTCGCGTGGGCAGTCAAATTAGATTCCTTTTTCGCAAAAGAGGAACTACCGGGGGAAGGAAACAAACGAGCGATTTACCGATGGGGACGAGAGGGTTCTTGATGGGCTTCTTGCTGACGAAGAGATCCTCGATCTGTGCGTCGGCGGCGCCCATCTTCTCCATTCTGGTGGTGAGGAATTGATGACGTACCCGTCTCTCTCGATCTCGAATAGAAACCCTATGCAGGCACTCTTCGCAGGAAAGCTTACTATAAAGGGTTCACCGGAGCCGCTCGTTGCACTTATATTTCTTGCCTTTCGTTTCGACCACCTACCTGCTAGGGAAAGGGACGAAGCTTTCGTCCTCCGATAACCCGATCAATACTATAACCCGATCCGTTACATATACGTTCTGCCTCTCGTCGATTTGAGCTAATCCTAATTGGATCAAACTCGAATCCGAATCCGAATCCGAATCCGAATCGATGCTTCACCAGTGGCAGTCGGATCGGATCTCGCCCGTTCCTCCAACGTCATCCGTGACCTCGGTATAGTGGAAATTGATCTCTCGCATGCTTCAAGGAGAAAAGGACGCGTGGCGACTTTAAGATTCGTGTCCATTGCTACGGACGGTGAGATTTCCATGCCTTCACACTAACACTATGAAAAGTGCACACGAGTCATATGATAAAATGCTCATGCGAAGACGATACATATAAGTATGCAACTAATGAGATGGAGAATTCTTCTTGAGAGTCGCGAGCAATGGATCGCTCCACAGATCAACAGGGCCGGGCAAGCACCAATGCAAGCAGTCGTTAACAGCCCCCGTCGTCTTCGTCGTCCATTGCTTCCCGGGGTGTGCGTCTGCCCTCAGCATCATCGCTTTGGTGACATCCAACACGTAGAACTTGATGTTCACTTCTCCCTCTTGCCGTCTCGCTCTTTCGATCTCCTCCAGCTGAACCTTCCTTATCTCCCAGGTGATGTCGCTCAGACTAATCTGGCTCTCATCCAATGGCTGTGTCCTGTTGCATTGTCCTCCGCTGAACCAGGAGCCATTCTCGAAGTGTGATGGCGTGAAGGTCCGCAAGAACGTGACGAGCCCCTCGCACTCCTTGCATGTGGCTATGAACTGGAGGGCTGTTCTGATGACGCTTCTGATGGCAGCTGCGACGCCGAAATCGGTCAGGTTTTGGCCCCAGCAGTTGACGCACCCGACGATCTCACCTTCTCGGTACAAGTGGAGTCCTCGAAAGAACCAGTTGCCGCCGGAGAGGATGGCGTAGTCGACGCCGGGAAGTTTCTCCGTCCAGTTCATGGTCACCCTGTCGAGGTGAAGCTCAAATGAGGATGAAGCTGTTCCGTTTATGATTCTTGGCCTTGCTTCCACAAAGTACTCCGTCCACATGGCCATGAGGGTGAACTCATGCGAGGGGAAGTACCATGTCACGTACATGTCGCCTGAATCCCTGAAGACTTGCCTGGAAGTCTCTGCCTGCAACAGGTTTGCATGAACTGTTCTTACCTTGTTCTGCTTCTCTACCTATAAAGCTAATAGATGAATTACCTGAGACGAGACACAGCAGGGATTCCATTTGATTGCGAGCTAGCGAGTTACCAATGAAGGCCATCTTCTTCCCTCTAACTAGATTCAGGAATGTCACAGGATCAAACCTCGGTATGTCACAACTATCGGGTTGCCATCTCCAATACAAATAGCTCTGATCCATCCCATACTTCCCACAGTTCTTCATGTCAGGCAGCGTCGGGCATGTCACGTTGGTATAGATCGATGCTCGTGGCTCTGTCACCCACTTGCCCTTTGTCATATCACAGAGCTCTTCAATTCCTTCGGCACCAAAGAAAGGAAAAGATTCAGGTTTCATCACACATCAGTGGCTGAGCAGTGAGAGAAATGTAGTGCACTGCAGTTACCACTGGTATTCGGATGGAGACCTTCCACAACTGGTGTCACCCTGCTAATGGTAGCAGCAGTAGCAGGCTGTGGTGCGGAGAGGTTCGGAGAAAGGAGCTCTGAATCAGGGGGGCTCTGCACCAGTTGTATCACGTTGCTGTTATCAGCAGACATGAGAGGGCTTTGGCTGAGGCCACCTTTGGCACTGATGCTGAGAGTATAAGAGGAGTGCATGATGAAGAGGATAAAGATGGTGGAGATGACCAGCAGCCACAGCAGAGGGCCAACCTTCTTCTGGATCACATTCCACTCCAAGCTGTAGTGGAGCTTTGGTATGGAGGGAGAGAGAGCAGGAACCATCTTGTTGAACATGGCATGAGAGCCAAGCAATGTGAGGGTATAAGAAGGGTTGGCTGGCACAACCTCTCTCATTTTGAGTGGTTTCATCACCTTTAATCTTGCATTGTTAGCTCAGCTGTTAAGTGGAAAACATACCTGATGCCCGTTTAAATCTCAAGGTTGGTGTGCTGGTTGGGAGGAGGCTTCATTTGGAATCTAAATGGACCTAAAAGCTATGCAAATTTGGGGAGTGAATCTTTCTGGTGAATAAGAGAAGCAAAAACTAGGGTGGTGATTGGTTGATGTGCCTTTCAAGCTTCGAACTTGCTGCTTTCATTCATAAAACTGGCAAGAGCCACCATTGTTGAAGTTGAACACTGTTGATATGGACATGGCATTGATCACAGATTTCCAATCTGCTATTACAAAAAACATCAGTCAGGTGTACCAACTAAGAGTCTCTTAATGCTCATTTCTTCCTCTAAAGTAAGCTTATCTTTGTCTCAAAAGAGAATCACTACCAACTCTAAGACAAATGTATATATGTATATATACACTACACAAAGAATAAAGAAACAATGACTATATTCCCTTTATGGTGATCTTTTCATTCTCGGTAAATTCTACCAAGATGCGACTCAGGAAGGTCTGCTGTAACCTGAACGGTATGTGATCATTTGTGTTTGAGCTTCTGTAGATGAATGTTACCTGGTTAAAACTCCACTTTGATCTCCAAGAGGTGCTGAGAGTGTTTCTTCCTCAATTCAGATCACTCTCAGCACTCTTCACTATAAATTAGATGTAAATATGGGGAAGAGAGAAAGAGAAGAAGAAAGATGATGAGAAGCTAGTGCATTATATTGAATAGAGGCCACATCTTATACCTTAAGTGTATAACTTTATGCTTATGTAGGCTAATAGTGCTCAAATATAACTCTGTCAAAAGAATATAAAAAGAACAAAACAGAAGGGTTGTCAAACAAATGAGCAGGCTAATTAGCCTGTTACTGTTTGGAAATAGGGTCATCTAACCCATCCCACAGCAACAAGGAGTCATGGACTCCTTCCTCTTCCAGAGTAGTGATTCCTTCCTGGAGTCAGACTCTCTGTTTGATAATTTGTGAGAGGAGGTCCATGGGGTGTGCACTTCATAACAATGGGTTGGACTAAAACAAAATTACTGATCTGTATGGTCTACCACATCATGGTATTTCTTTGTTTATTTGTCTGTGTTCATGAATCATAGGCACCAATTTGATTATGAGACAAGTTACACAAAACATTAGACAAACTGAAAATTCATTTACACCTTCATATGGCTCAATTAACCAAGTTGAGTGGACTGATAATTTTCGCTTGTGCCAATCTAGGAAAATTTGGGGCTGTTTTTGCATCCACTCTTGCATCAGATTCATTTTCCTTGTATGTGTTGAGGTACATAAACCACTAGTAATTCTTCTTGATGCTCCAGTTAATCTGGTTTCTCAGCTAATTAAGTTGTGTTTCTGTTTGTGAAAATATGCTGCTGGTGCCTTCTGTTCTCCATTATGCAATCCTAAGAGCTTTTGTGCTCTAAGTTCATTGCAGGATTCTCTATGCGGGGGTTTATCTGGTTCACTTCATAATGTTGAACAAGATTGGTGTGTTGGTAGCTGCAACAAGCACAGATTTTGGTCCTGGACATCTTCAACTGTTTTCCTCCTTTTTAGGTGTAATGGTGTAATCAATGTGCAGTCATATGTTGCAGGCTTCAGGAAATTATTCTTGGGTGTACCTGTGCTATGACAAAATACTATAAGATATGAGGGATCATCTATAAGACAACTTTCAGTCATTCAAGATCAATGCCAATGTGAGGAAATCTCCTCCTTATTGCTTATCTTAATAAATTCTTGCCAATTATTCAGAATTTCTCATAATCTTTTAGTATCAGAGAAAAATCCAGTTTTACAGACTAAGATGTTTCATTCATATACAAGATTGAATTTATGAGTGAATTAGAAAGGTAATTCCTCTTCTATCGGTATTTGTTGCATGCCCTACAATTCATATTCCTGTTCTCTTCCTTTTGGGTGATGTGCTTAAAATTAGAACTTTTTTCTTTAGCTGTTATGAGTTTGCTAAAACAAAGAAAAGTATAAATAAAAAGTCTTTTGTGGATTAAGGTATTCTGATACAAGTCTCAGTTTCACTTGCAATGGTGAAAATATTGGATACATACATGAAATGGCATTTTGGGGCATTGGAAATAGTTTGATTGATATTTTCTAGTACCAGATATTAGAAACCCGATACCCGAGTAGAAGCAGAATTCTTGTTCCTCAGTGTATAAAAGATATTAGAAACATACTTTAAACAGGCAGGAAGAAAATATTTTTCTATGGAAAATATTTTTCCACACTTACATGCTGTAAGGCAGATCTAACTTAGTTTAGACCTGTCAGATATCTGACTTTTCTTTTTTATTTCTCCAGTAAACTCTATCGAACTAAACTCTCATGACACATAAGAATCAGAGAAATGCTTCCCTCTTTGTTATTTGAGTGGTACAGTACTATATAATTCTGGTAATTAGCATGTATACCAGTCAATAAGATATCATTATGTTTGGTTCTTGCATGCTGTTATATTTATTGTGTTCAAAGAAACCAGTAATAGGCTGTGTTAACATACTATGTTATCATATGGAGTTCAGTTTAAATTATTGATCTAGCTGAACCATAACAAGTCTCTGAATTGAAGGCAATATTTGATTGGATATTTGTTGGTGTAAATGCATTAAATCTCTATTTATGCCTGCTAAATCTACCATGTGGGTTTTGTTCTTAGATTTGGCAAAATATCAGCCCAAGTTTAGGCCAAATTATGTGTTTCTTGATGAAATAGTTATATCATGTTCTCTGTCATTGACAAAGTGCATTGTTATGAATTCCAATCTCTGTTTCAGCTAGTTGTTGACTTTTAACATACAGTTAAGTGTGTTATGTTACTATGAGTTAGTTCTCTCCTTGTCAACAAAGTTGCTCATGGACCAATTAATATTTAGTTCTAGAATATATTCTTAAGCTAATAAAAAGATAGCCTAAAGGTTCATCCTCTGATGGAACTCTCAATTCCCAATTCCAGAGGAATGGTTTGAGGTGCTTTTCCTCTCCAACCATGGGGTTATAGGTATCATGACCACTTTTACTGGCCTTTCTCTTCCCCACAGCCATCAAAGTCTCTTTTGCATTTGCATATCATGATGGCAGGAACCCAAAGGAGGAAAAGCAGAATAAAAGGGGAGATCATGGGTTTCACAACTAGATGGTGGCTTCTGATGATTGAACAGAGGACCTTTAGCTCAATCCATTTAATGGACAAGTAGGTAGAAGAATTTTAGAGCAAAGATTTCTGGATAACAAGATGTCTTTACAGCTCATTTCGGTCCCCATAAGCATTCATAGTACATGTAGATGTGTGCCAATTTTTTAGATGTTAACAAAAATGGATCAATGTGCCATTAGATCCTTCTTCTCTTGCAAAAAAAAAAAAGAAAAGAAAAGAAATACTTTAGTTAGTCAGAATTTGTTTTCCATTTAAGACAACCAGCTTCTTCCTGATATAGGAGATGGATATTGGACAGGCTCTTTTGAGTTTGTTAGTAGGGGAAGGAAGATTGGGTGGTCAGTGAATGATGGGGCACATTCCTATATGGTGAACAGTGCCCCAAGGCAGAGACACCAAGCCTCTCCCAGGCATGCAAGTGGTCCTGCTTCCAATATGCTAAAAAGAACACCAGCATGCCCAAATATTCTGTGATGATGCTAACTTTTGACTCCATCATCATGCATCCAGTGTCCTACAGGGACACCATGAGCTACATAGCTCTTGAAACCAAAAGAGCCAGGGCCAAAAGCTGGAACTCTCTCTTTATCAGCCCATGGCCACCTTTGCTAAGCATCCTTTTAAGAAAGAAAATGTGGTAAAGACATGAGACTTAGCTCCCAGCACTCTTTTTTCCTTTGTGTGGGAGGTAAAGAGTAATAGGCTTTTGGGCTTATTCATAGGATTCCTCACTTGGAGAGGAAAAGGAGAGTGAGTGCTGGGAATAGTGGATGATAAGAAAGCAGCCTCTGCTTCTGCACTTGAGCCAGATAAAGAGGAGAATAGAAAAGCACTTATATTGGATGCTTCTTTCTGTTGGCACAGTTCTATGTGTGTGTGTGTGTGCAAGTTTAAGACTGCAGCACATGCATGCAGCACTTAGTACCACAGAAACTTCCTTTTTATTTCCTTTGACAACATGAGAAGATCACCATTGAACAGCTCACATCATTGCAAATGCATATACAACACCCTGAAATCAAAAAACATTTCTTTTTCAACATTTTGTGTCTGTTTCAATCATTCTTTCGCATCGTATACTTTCAAACATGTTTATCATGATGGAAATACGGATGCGGATCGGCAGGCAAACCTTGCTACATCCGACATGAACCATTCTTGTTGGAATGATTATTTGCATCAGACTTATTTAAGTAATTTACAGTTTTTCTCATTGAAAAATAAAATATATTTCTTTTTCGATATCGGTTGTATCATCGACTTTAGCAACTTAATTGCAGCTTATACTTGTTTGTAACTTAATAAAATTTCTCTGAAAATGCTAGTTCAGCAGTTGATGTAGAATATTTGAAGATGAGAGAGGAAGTTGAAAGCTTAAGCTTTGATCTTGAATGTGTTATTTCCTTGTCTGTAATTGGTTGTTGCTTATGGCATTTGATTGGCAAGACAACAAACTTTCTTGCTCCATGAAGTTAAGAGAATGTTAAGAAGTGCCCATCATATATCCTCCTTGATTGGTGTAAGATTCTGAGAGAAGAACAAGAAGAAAGCTAGAATAAGATGACACTAATAATACTCTTAAAGTTCAGCTCATGTGTCTGAGTGTTGTATCAATGAAGTCTGGATTGAGAGGAATGAAGTTTAGCTAAGAGTTAATATAAAAGTAGATGACAAGTGTGCCTCTGCACATGAATCTGATCTCAGAAGAAATCTTCAAGAGACAGAATTAATTTTTGTTTTGTGCATTCTTGATGCTGGATTGAGCGAAACTTTTCGGTTTATTTTAGCTTTTCAAGGATTAACTGCTGCTGTTCTATGATTTCTGCAGTTGGTTGAGACATGCACAGTAGTCTTCCATGAGCAGAAGCAACATCACCAAGCTTCTTTCTTCCTTCTCTCAGCATACGAAGAACAGGAGTCTGATATTGCTTGATCCAGAGAGGATGTTAAGAGAAGAAACTTGTGATCTCCTTTTGGCCATGGTCATGAGTTCGTTAGCAGCAGCAGCAGCAGCAGGGCGGGAAACAAGATGAGTTGCTGTTGCTCCGTACCCCTCACTCATTGAGCTGCGTTGGCCGGATGTGTTCCAACCCGATCTGGTGCCATGTCCACGTCCGTTCCATCATTCCATTACTCTCCCTCTCTCTCTCTCTCTCTCTCTCTCTCTCTCTCTCTCTCTCTCTTTACTGTGATGTATCCTACTCACGGAAGACGAGTCACTTCGGTCAAGGCCAAAGCAGGCAACAGCACAAAAGAGACTAAAGCTGCTGTCTCTCTGCCATTAAAGTGCTCGTGGAAATGTCCGTTTGTTTGGCACGTGAGCGGCGCTTGTGTGTGCGCGTGCGCGAGTGCAGAATCTACTGCCCGATGCCGTGCTAAATCCTGTCTAAGATCATTAAACTCAGTTTGCGTTCAAACAATGAGGACAACAGGAATCCATGTTTGCATGGATGGATTGAGAGGTTGCTGTCACTTGACCCAGCTTGTCTAGTGCAGCAAATTATTCAGTCATGTCATGTCACCATGGTGGCCAAAAAGAGTGGGCACTGCTCATACTGCAACTGTTGACTCTTGGATAGTGAGCACATATGAATGTGCATTGTTTGGATTCCTTCTTGTCTCATAAGACATTTGGAGTTGGATGAGAGCTGTCTCCCATGTAAGCCTTCCTTCAGTGGAGATCTGCACTTTTCTACAACAAGTCATCTCACTGTCTAAAAAGCAACTGTGTGATATCCAGCAGCAAATGAAATCAGAATCATGTATCTGTGCCAATAAAATAGATGTATCATTATTTTTATTGATGTAGAGAATTAGCAGCCATGACCACAGGCTGCACAGCACAGCCTGAAGGAGGATGAACATACATCCTCTCCAGGTTGACATGCATCAACCTCACAACCACACAAAGTTTCACCAATATATATAAATATATAGAGAGAGAGAGAGAGAGAGAGAGAGAGAGAGAGAGAGAGAGAGGAAATACAATAAATGCTGGTGAGGCTGAGGAGGAGGATTGACTGGCCAACCAAACTACCATTTGGTGAATGAAGGTTGCTCAGCTACCAGTTTACCAGCAAAGTTGAGTGACATCTCCTTTCTACCATGGCTGTAAAAAGACCCACTCTGATGATATGCTTCATTCATTCAGCAATAAGTGCTGCCTGTGATTGTAAGAGCCCCCACACCCTCCACAAGCAAAGACCATGTCCTTCACACACTTATCATCACACCCAAAAACAATGGCAGATTCCCCTCCCTTGAGAATCTGCAACACTTTGCTATGATAGCAAAGCCCCACAAATTAAAGAACTTCAAGAAGAAAAGAACAAAAGAAATCAATGAGACTCCCAGCCTATGTCCTGGTCAGACACACAGTCATAAACCAGCATCCTATTCCCCAACTCCTCTGAAAAATAATGAGGAATCTGCATATCCCAAAAAGATATTGCCTACTCACCGGAGAGACTCTAAAACCACAATCAGAGAAGAAAACAAATAAAGGAAGAGAGAAAGAAAAAGGAACTTATTAGGTTTCCTATGAGCTCTCCTGGTCATTGTCCACCCATAAGCAATTGTTGTTCAGCTTCCTTCTTTTGCTAGGTGGAGAAGAATAAGATGATGACACACTTGGCTCCAAGTCCACCGAGGTGCTCGCTTTCCTCGTTCTATTGACGATAACTTGCTTCATTGATCGATAGCAACCTGCAATCCCTGCCTGCAAAATACACAACATGCAGTGCAATGCAATGCAATTTTCTGAGCTAGACTCTGTCATGTTGCAGATCCTACAAGACAATTAAGTTTCTTCCTTACCTCTGTCAATCCAATGCACCATGAGGCTGCAATTCCAGGATCAACAAAAGCTAGATCCTTAATCTCATCAGTGGCACAGATTATGGCAGCTGCAGCAAGTGACGATGGGCAGTGACTCAGGAACCTTACATCTGTAAATCCAAACGTATCAGCTCGAATCAAGAATGCATTTCCTTAATTTACATGTTGCAATAACAACCAAAACTACATGACCTTTCGTTGTCGCTAATGTAATTTCAGTGGCCAATGAAACCAAAGTTCGCGCATATTTTCCTACAGGGTCGATCTTGTGAACAAAGAAATCGATGAAAGTGAAAGGCGTCACAGATCGAAGCCTCCAATTCAATGCATTGAGCACGACGAGCTCCATTCTGAGGACCGTGCGAGGTTCGAAAATGATCTTTGCACCCTCAACCTAAGCACATTCCGATTAAGCTTAGCGGATGCTTCTTATGACAATATATTGTGGTTCAAGTTCTTTCACCTGCAAATCTAATAGGGATGGCAGCAGTGTCTCCTCCATCTTTGCAGCTAGGGAGAGGCATGCCACTGACAGAAGCTGCAATGTCCATTCATTTTGCTGCAAGTAGTAGACCCAGCATGTTTGAGATTTACCCATACCTCTAAGCAAAACAAATGATAGAACAGTTTTCTGCTACTATTGCAGTACCTTACTGTTCTATGGCTAGTACTGTTGTCATCCTCAAATAAACAACAAAAGATTTACATGTGAATGTGCAATTTTTATTGAGGAGAAGACTAATAGTATTCTCCATCATCCTTATTTTTATATATACATCTCAAGTACTCCATACTTTCCTTATCAATATATTTCATGCAAAAAATGGTCTTTCCATATCCTAAATAATCGCAATCTCATTATTTTCCAGTATAAATGATAAGATTGCTCATTTACGACATAGGAGAATATAGAAATGACATGTAAGATTTTGTACTTTGATTCACCACAAATGCACTATATTGGTAGGAATCTCATGCATTGAATCCAGTCCTTTCTTTTCATCTAATTATTTTAATCAAAATTGAAATAGTAGGTATCTCTTGCTATAGCACATATATTTTTGGTTTATTGAATGACTATTGAAGGTATATCAAGAACAAATTCCTTCCTTTAAATGATACTTTAATGTAAATTATGCTAAGGGCAGGACCTTTGTATGTGAGTCGGTAACGTTAGGATTAAACTCACCGGTAAACAGTGACGAGAGAGGAAGCGATCCAAGTAGTTCACGGCAAGACACGCCGTCAGCGGGCGAAAACAATAGTACTCGTGCACCTGAAAACGGAAAACGAGAAGACGGTCAAGACAGTTGACGTCCGTCAAGGGGGGGACGGTGAGGGGATCCGGCTCACGGTAGCAGATCGCGGCGCAACGTGCGCCGGCGGGGGGGAACTCACCTTGAGGATCCAGGTGACGGCTTCTTGGCGCGCGGCCGGGTCGAGCAACTTGGCCTGGAACCGGTCCGGGTAGTCGAGCTGGGGCGAGGAATCAGCCTCCCCCTCTATGAACCCGGCGATGGACTCGTCCGAGTCGTCGGGGAACTCGGCCGGCTCCCCGACGCCGCCCGGCGAGTCATCGGCCAGCTCGCTGACGTCCTCGCCGCACAGGAGGTCCCAGCACGAGCCGTGGTCTGACAGCGTGAGCGGCATGGCCTCCTCATTGTCTTCCCATCACCGCGCAGCACCAACCCACCGAGAGAGACATAGAGCTACTGGCGGAGACACACACAGAGACAGGGATAGAGTGAGAGGTGGAAAAGGAGATGAGGAAGGGAGGAAGAGAGTGTGGTGGTGGAGAGAGGTGAGAATGGGAGTTGGGGAGGAGAGAAGGAATGGAGTGGTGTCCATGAGGTTTGTTTGTTGCTATATAATATGGTAAGATGGGGTGGGGAAGGGAGAAGAGTGAGCAGTAGTAGAAGTATTAGCAGTGTATTTGCCTTTTAGCTTTACACTTGATATCATATTTCTCTATACAATAATTTGTCAACTCTAATATCATGATTCAATTTAATATGATACTGATTTACAAATATGTTGAACTTAAATCAATGATTTAAAAATGCTTCAGTTCATGTATTTTTCTCAGCAATGAGAAGTACAATGTAAATAGATATAATATTAATATACAGTGTATTATTGATAGGAAGGGAGTAAAGTTGGCTAATGGTGAACTTCTTACATGGGCCTGACATCATAGATTGAACTCCATGCCTTTGGCTTCTTGTGGACTTTTTGAGTTCCTCACATTGGAGCTTAATTTTATTTGTAGTAGGTATTCAATGTTGTCAGAAGAGGTTTGAAATCCTAACATGGATTTGATTCTTTCAGTGGTTTTACATATCTATCCCCTCAGAGCTTGAAGATTATCATATTTCCCCTTCCATTTCTTATATATATCATTTCAAGTTATGTTCTTCATGGAAACAACTACATTGGCATTTAGGACTGCAAATATTAAATTTGTGGTGATGCAAAACCAAACACAACTATAGCTGTGTACAAAACTAGTTTGCAATCATAACTCGATGTCTATCAATCCCATTGCTACAGCACTTTTGTTTCTAAGTTTGAGGTGAGTAGATCGTCAAAAAGAACAGAAAGATTTATTGAGTGGTTTGCAATCAATGCGATCCTCTGGCATCTTCCAATTAGCATCAGTAATGGCAGTAGAACAAATGAAGTGGCCAGCGGGAAGGAAGACATGCGCAGGAGGACTTTGGTGGCTCTCCTCTCAACCATGTGAGGTCTCTTTACTCCGTCGCCACCCTCCCCTTCTGAAGCTTTTAAGTTGCAGAGTTAGGTGGTAACTTTCCGCTGTAGCCATTCACCACAGCCCCGTGGTGGCCAGTGGGGAGACTCCACCAGCAGCTCAAATGAGATGGCGCTTGGGATGCCGTGTTGACCGCCGGTCAAACTGGCTTGAGCGTTAGGAGCTTGTGCCTGGATGGGAGAGGCTCGGGAGTTGGGCATGGGGAAGAAGAAAGGCCTCTGTTTTGTTGTCAGCTTGCAGTAAAAGTAAAAGAAGCTCTCCCAAAGCTTCATCTGAAAAGGAACAAACTGCAGACTCCGCGAGAGGATGCCAATGGAAGCAACGCTCGTGTTTGCGAACCCAAGTGACCGGTCCAATGCTGAACCGGCTCGGTTCGGCCGCGATTTGGCCTTTTTTTTATAGTATTCGATACGAACCAAACCGCTCCAGCTCGGCGTCGAAGCCCCTCACCCCCCCCTCCCTTGTTAGGGTTTCCTTCCTCCCCCGTTCCCGATCGAGGCAGAGTCGCCAGAGGTATTCCAAGAGAGTGTTTTCTTCTGATGATTCACGAATACATTTGTCTTTGAGTTTGCAGGTTTTGTTTCTGATCTTGATTTCTCTTCGGTTGTAAAAATCTTCTGTGGTATCTTCGTTCCATGGTCTTGTGGTATATCTTTTGTGCGATTCATACAGTTGACGATGATGGTTGATGTGGCTACGAATTCAATCTAGCATCTTGTGGCTTCGACGTGACATTGATGAGTTGCTCATTAGATAGGAGAGTCGATGCCTGTGACGTGTTTGTTGAAATGTTGATAGGCACCCTGGGAACCACAGTCTGAGCTTTGCTTTGACAACTGCATCGCAAAATCGTCCTAGATCCACTGTGGCAATGTCGAGTAATGCTGACACTGCACAAGCAAAAAGCCGATCGGGCCGCCTTCCCAGAAAGCGGTTCTATCGAGCACGGGCACACAGCAATCCTCTCAGCGACTCGCACTTTCCAATCCCCATAAGTCCTGCGGATTTTGATTGCTCCCATCACTACCCTTACTTTTTCCCTCCCGGGAGTGGGGGTCGTAGCGACGGGGATGCACCTCCCCGCAAAGTCAGGTTTGCTGATATTGGCTGTGGGTTTGGTGGATTGCTCGTTGGCCTCTCGCCTCTATTTCCAGATACTCTAATGCTAGGGATGGAGCTCAGAGATAAGGTAAGAAATGTTACTCCTTTGTATACGCAAACTTAATTCGAGAACTACGATATAGAACAAATCAAAAAGGTTTGGAAATTCTGTGCAGGTAACTGAGTACGTGAAAGAGCGAATCTTGGCATTAAGAGCCTCGAACCCAGGGCATTATGAGAACATCTCTGTGGTTCGAACCAATTCGATGAAATACTTACCTAACTACTTCGAGAAGGGGCAGCTATCGAAGATGTTCTTTCTTTTTCCTGATCCCCACTTTAAAGAGAAGAACCACCGACGAAGAGTGATCAGCCCTCAACTGCTCGATGAGTATGCTTATGCACTTGAAGTCGGGGGTATCATATACACAATCACTGATGTGGAGGAACTTGGGGATTGGATGAGATCTTGCTTGGAGGATCATCCTCTATTTGGAGCTGTTCCTGAGGAAGAACTCGTACTCGATCCTGTTGTTAAGTTGTTGTCTTCTGCGACTGAAGAAGGTCAGAAGGTTGCCAGGAATGGCGGTCAAACATTTCGAGCTGTATACCGGCGCATTAAGCTTGAGGAGGAATAGTTTGCTTCTGTTTAGTTATTAGTTCAGTCTGAAATGAGTTTATATCTTTGCAACAGATCAATTTGAGACATCTTAACGGTATGTCGGCAGCTAGTTTGGATACGCATTCTGGTGTTATATTTTGCTTCTTACAAAAGCAGAAGCAGAAGTCTTTATATTTTGCTTTGAGTTTATTTATCCCTGGTTTTATTTATTTCAGTTTAACTTCAAACCTTGATCTGCTTAGTACAAATTTTCTAACTGAATTAGACGGCAATTACTGGATATTTCTGTTGAGTAAGCTGTGTAATGTGGTAGGCATTTCTATGCAATCGCAGTTTGAGTTGTCAAAGATGGGTGTGCCTGTTGTATTGTTGTGGTGTTATCTTCAAGCTATCGAGCATCTATGTGAAGACACAACAGGTGAATGCAAGTATTGTGATGTTCAAGGATGTGCCGGTCAATGCATTTTGTAGTTGTAACAGCACTTCCATGGAGAACTCATTGTTGAAACATGAGATAAAATGCATACTACATTGCACGAAAAAATTGGATGTGGCCATCGAGTTTGTGTTAGTGTTGCCAACTTACGCTTCATTTTTGTTATATAAATTCGGTACATGTATATGCGCCGAGCATCTTATAGCGTCGAAACAAACAAGACTGAGACAAAGCACTGATGTAGTGCTGAATGACAATTATATCTGCTTTCTACTTTTAGAAGTTTTATTATGTTATGTCATGGATGATGAAGTGTGTTGATCTCTGAGTTCACTGATGAAAAGCATGCATGAAGAAATTTGCAGAATCTGAAGAGAATTAGTATTTACATTGTTGGACCACATGTACACTACTTATCTGCATCTTGTTGCATGCGCATTCACTAATTCATCTTTTTCTGTCATGTTCCCGATAGTGCATACAATGATTTTGTGGAACTCAGCATCAGTTCTCTTTTTGTTCTTTTTCTGGTGGGACAACAATAAGATATATTAACAGCTGATGTTTATGTTTACAAGTTTCTGATATCTGAGATGAATGGCAGACTGTGATTTAAACTACAAGTGTTAGCTAAGGAAATTAACATTCTTTTTTGTTTTTCTGTAGTATGCAAACTCTTTTTATCTCACATTGTTATGTGCTAAATCATTAGAGTAAGATGTGAGACTACTAACTATGTGGGGTTTCAGGATAGGCTTGCATTAAAACTTACCCTATGCTTCCAACATTATTAATGTCTTCTTTCATAAAAGAAAAAGTAGGCAGCACAATGGATTTAAGAAAACTGAAAGTAAGCTATCCATTGTCTTAAAGATCATACTACTTCAAAAGTGTTACATCTGAAACTCTGCAAAAAGAGCCATCATCTTCCAGGTTGACATTGTCATGCAGTATTCACTGGTTTTTTACATTGTCATCAACTCAAGCCATCATCACTATGACACCATTTATCTGTAAAAGTGAGTATAAACATTAAATCACTTCTCTTACCTTGGGCATTTTGACTTTGCATTCTGTGTCTGTCTGATGAAGTTACCAAGGTAGCAAATAGTTGAACAACAAATGCTTGAAAATTAGATGAGTCAATCACTGAGTGCATTCAGGTAACATGATGAAACCCCATCAAGTAAAGGATTTGGATGGACCATGTTAATGTAGATACAATGATTGCATAAGGCCACTATGGAAATGCTTGCCTGAAAGCTATACAAGCAATGAGTGAAGGATTGTGTAGGCAATCCACCTCTGCTAGTGGCTTCTGAAGTATTGGAGTGCACCACCAGCAATGATGCATTTGCAACACATGATTACACAAGTTTCCACCACCAAAATATTTCACAGATTGTGACATCCTCCTAATAAAAACTCCCAAATAGTAGGAATTATTAGGGTGTAATTTTACCTTTATAATTAGTTACTTTTAGTATCCTCGGCCTTATAATTTTAAAGATTACATAAAGATCTCTATATAAAACATTTAATTCATTTTTTCAACAAAATCTTTCTTGATTTTTAATCTTATATAGTGATTTTAATGTTTCACTTTTGTAAATATACGAATCCTAATATAATTTTTTAAAAACATAAGAATCAAAATATTAAAGATAATTAATCATAAAAAATAATGTATAATTAATCCCTACTAATGTAACTAAGTACATCACATATGTTCATCAAGGACTTGCCTAAGAAATTAATGGTTCTCAGAGTTGAGAGATGGCAAACAGTGGCAGGGTTTTGATTCTGGATTATTTTTTTAGAACTTGTTGAGGATAATTATTTCATTGGGATAATTATAATATCAGACTCGAACATTAATTTGGTTTG